AGGCCTGCCTAGTGCTGAGAGCTCCACCTCGAGTCAGGTGGTGAGTGGGGCAGCGAGCCTGTGGAGCAGGAACGTTCTCATGCTCTCCTCCCAGCCCCAGAAGAACGGCCTCTCCACCACACACATGCTGAGGACACGTGCAAAGCCCCCAAGCAGTTCAGGTCCTGGGCGTGACCCTCTGTGAGTGACAAGGGCTCTGAGCAGAGCCCCTGAGCCATGGAGAGGTGCTTGGACTAGTTCCAGTTCCACCTCCCAGGAGGAATACAGCCTAATGCTGCCAGCTCAGGGGGCGGGGCCTGGAGGAAGATGGGTGCGGGGGTGATGACCACTTGGGAGCCCAGCCCAAAGGTCTCGGTTCTCCATTCCCCCTCATCCACACCGCCAAGAGCAGACTGGCAAGCACGTGTGTGAAGGGATCAGAATAAAGCTGGAGGAAGCCTGAAAATGCTGCTCAGAGCACTCGGCCTTCCCTCAGGACTCACGTTCCCGTGGACCGTATGACTTGCTGAGGCGGCCAAGTTCTGAGCCAGTAAATAGGTCTGATTTAGCTCAGAATCCCCACCACACCACGTGCACAGTAAGTCTGCGATCAGCAATGACGGAGGGGATCTCAACCTGCATCCGGAGAGAGCCCTTCACCAGGGACAATGCCCATGGAGAGTGAGGGCAGGAGCACCGCCTGGCAGAAAGTCGCCCATGGCTCTGAGATTCCAACAAGGAACAGGACGAGGAGCCCGTGGCTGCATTAGGACAAGTTCTGTCCCACTGCCCCCAACAGTGGATGACAAAATCACTTCATGTAACCCAATGCTCTGTACTAAGGCACCAGGCAAAATAAGAGTCATTTCATCCATCCAGAGGAGAGAGAGCCCAGAACTTGAGCTAATGGGCAACATGGAGAATAAAAAAGAATGGCGAGAGGTGACAGGGGTCCCAGAGGACAGCGTTTAGGGAAGAAGAGTCAGGAGTGTCATTACCACTGCAATTAGTAAAATAAACCACCTGACAGTGTTTTCTAAAATCCAGGAGAGGAACTTAGGCAAACCTTGCAGCTGACAGAGTCCAGGAACACAGAGCTCACAAGACACACCCCTTTGCCGGCCCTTGCTGGGTCCCTGCCAAAGGATGACTTTTACTGGCCCTTTCAGGGATATTCCCATCATGCCCCTCAGGATGAACGAGGCTCCCAGCTTCTACTGCACCACAGCATAAGACAGTTGTTTCAATTTTCCCTCTTACGGAAGGGCCTGCTGCTGGAAGATCTGTGAGGAACTACTCTCTCCCTCCACCCCACCCTCTTCCCTGGAAGGCCGCCCAGGGACCAGTGCTGAGAAGCCCCGTCCCTCCTCCCTGAATGCTGCCGGGGCCAAACTGGAGGCCCAGACCAGACCCTCCGAGCCTGGTGCTCGGATGAGGTGCTAACGGTCCCCGCAGAGGGCAGAGGGAACCAAGCTGACATTCCCTTTGTCCCCGAGGACATCCGGCACCCGCCTGCAGACCAGTCCCGAGAAAAAGGATCCACCTACATAGTTATCCCGTGCGGACCAGCCGGGGTACAGCTGCATGTGGAGCTGCCGCTCCTTCCGCGCCAGCTCGTAGTATTTTGCTTGCTCCTCTCTCGACAACGCGTGCCACTGGAGGGGACATGGGGGGGAGAGAGACAGAGAGAGACATGCAGAAGTCACCAACTACACTGCGGCGAGGGGGGAAGGCGGCTTCTTTTTCGGGTAAGTCCATCCGGAATCGTACAACCTGCAGATGGTCTGCGGGGCCTGGCACCCACAGGAGTGCTCAGACAAAGCACAGGTTGGCGTCTGTCACTCCATCCCCTGCCCTCTCTGGGGGTGGGGGAGGGTCGTGGCTGTGGCTGTAGGAGTCCGGAGTGTGGCCGAAAGAAAACAAATGGGGACAGGGACACCTTGCCACCCCACCTGCGACGTCCTAGTCCCCTCTCCCCTCTTCCCCCAGGGAGGCAGCCACCTACCCTTCGCCCCAGGATCTGGTTGATGGCCGCGCTCTCTTTCAACGTGCACTCGGCGACGACCTTCGCTCTCATTTCCTTCATATACAACATGAACGCGTTGAGAGGTTTCTTTATGTGGGGCTTCTTCTTTTCCTCTTCCTTTTTGGAGTCCTGATGCTTTCTGGATGCGGACAGAACACACAGACACAACCCTGTGAACCACCGCGAGGGCCAACTCCCCCCGCGGCACGGAGCCCATTTCCATGGTTCCCCGGTGCCCACACCCGGCAGCTTTGAATGAAAAGCTCGCTTCCACGTTTGGTCTCCCCGGCCCTGGACAATGGGACAGAAACAGCCTGGGGAGGGGCTGGGGAACACAGAGGTTTTGCCATCAGTTCCTCAAGTGTCACAAGCACACAATTTTCCCAGGCTGAGGGGACAGCACCTGTGGCCGCCTGCACCTTGGCGGCGGCACCTGCTCAAAGGACAGAGCTCCGAAGGCTCAGGGATATGGGGAGGGACAGGGACGTGGTTGCAAATCCCAGTCCAGCCAAGAACATAAAAGTAGTTCTCTTGACCCCGTCCACCTGTGAGGGTCCAGAGCCCACAGCAGCTGGGTGTCTGCCGGGATCACACGCAGCACGACAGCCTTGGCCAGGGCCACCAGCCAGGAGCCACCAGGCCAGCAACCACAGGCTAAACCCAATGAAGAGCGACACTGTCCTAGCTGGTTTGGCTCAATGGGTAGAGCGTCGACCTGCAGACCGAAGGGTCCCGGGTTTAATTCTGGTCAAGGGCACATTCCAGGGTTGTGGGCTTGATCCCCAGTGTGGGGCGTGCAGGAGGCAGCCAATCAGTGATTCTCTCTCATCATTGATGTTTCTATCTCTCTCCCTCTCCCTTCCTCTCTGAAATCAATAAAAATATAAATAAAGAAAAAATAACGACACTTACGAGCTGTGGAGCGAGCCGACGTCACTCTGGGAGGATTCCTGCTTGACTGTTGGCGTGACGATGGCCGGGTGGGGGATGCCGGTCGTGTGCAGAGTGTGATGTGGTGGGACCATGTGGGGAGGGAACCTAGAAGACAGAAAGCTGTGTAAATCGTCAGAATCAAAATGAATGAATGAGGAGGGATGTGCACACACAATACACTAAAACAAAAAAGCACGTAACACTCACATGAAAGCAACCCGCGGCATATGAAACCTGTCAGCATTAATTAGCGATAAATTAAACATAATGACTCTCATAATGTCATTAAAGCCAATCTTCCCCTTCATTACGCTTACTGACACAAGACGTTATGATTTCCAACATCTTTCGCAAAAGACAAATTTAACTGATGTACTTGGGTGGCAGAGGAGGCCCGGGCGACCTGTTGGAGATCACACGCCCACATGTGTTTTGAGGTGTTACCAGTGGCATCTATCTAAGAAGACAATTTCCTAAGCCCTAATCGGCGCCAGATGAGAGGGGAAGGCTTTTGTTGTATATTGACAGCCGAATAAAATATTAATGCGGCTGACGTGTACACACATTCCTGACAGGGCTGCGTGGGCCTCATTAGGCCTCATTCTGTTGATGGGAGTGTAATACAATTTTTGTTTTGCTTTTGCTGCTGTGCCCCATCGTTTTGACAGGAATGGGAGACAGTGAGGCAGAAAGATGGAGAAAATCCAAATATTTCCCATTTGGTTCTCATCAGAAGTTACGGACATTTTAAATAAGTTTGTATCGGCTTAT